CTCTGGTTTTTTATTTATATATAATCTGATATCTTTTTCTCAAACCTTGGAATTTTTTTTTAATAAATTTTTTCTGATGTTTCAAAACGAAATTCTCAAGCTTCCGATTTTTCTGGTTTCTATTTATTTATAATCTGATATCTTTTTCTCAGATCTTAGAATTTTCTGTTTTTTACATAATTTCTTTCCTGATAACTCAAAAAAATGATTTGAGAACTTTCTGTTTTTTTATCTATATATGTTTTCTGATATCTTTTTCTCAAATTTTGGAATAAAGAGTATATAATTTTTCAATACAAAGATAAAAAGTCATCTGACAATTTATATACTGGGAAAAAGAAAGGATTAAACATGATGTAAAAGAAAAGGTTAAAAGGGATGAAAATATTAGTAGGATCTGAAAACCTTCTTCTCAAATTTTGAATTTTTCTGTGTTTTACATAGACTTTTTCCTGATATCTTAAATGGGATTATTTTGGAATTTTTAATTTTTTATATAATTCTTTCTGATGTCTTGAAATAAAATTCTCAGGTTTTGGATTATTCTGGTATTTTAATTATATATAATCTGATATCTTTTTCTCAAATCTTGGAATTTTCGGTTTTATATATATATATATATATATTTTTCTGATACTTGAATAAAAATTATTTGAGAATTTTCTGTTTTTTATAAAAACATGTTTTCTGATATCTTTTTCTCAAAAGTGGGATTTTTCTTTTTTAATAAATTTTTTTTTCTGATGACTTCAAATAAAATTCAAGTTTCGGTTTTTTCTGGTTTTTATTTATTTATAATCTGATATCTTTCTCTCAAATCTTGGAATTTTCCGTTTTTACATGTTTTTTTTCTGACAACTTTAAAAAAATATTTTGGAACTTTGTTTTTTTTATCTATACATGTTTTCTGATATCTTTTTCTCAAATTTTGGAATAAAGAGCATATAATTTGTTATTACAAAGATAAAAGTCTTCTGACAAATTGTATCCTGGGGAAAACAAAGGATGAAACAGGATGTAAAAGATAAGCGTAGAAGTGATGAAAATTTTAGTAGGAGCTTAAAATCGTTTTCTCAAATTTCCGGGTTTTACTTAGACTTTTTTTTTCTGATATCTTAAAATGGAATTATTTTGGAATTTTCAGTTTTTTTTCTAATTTTTTCTGATGTCTTTTAAAAGAATTCCCAGGTTTCGGATTGTTGTTGTTTTTTATATATATATAATCTGATATCTTTTTCTCAAGTTTTGGAATTTTTTGTTTTTTACATATTTTTTTTCTGATACCTCAGAAAGAAATTTTTGAGAGTTTTCTTTTTTTTTTAGATGAAGATGTTTTCTGATATCTTTTGCTCAAATTTTGGAATTTTCTATTTTTTACATCTATTTTTTCTGATACTTCAAAAAAATTGTTTGAGAATTTTCTGTTTTTTTATCTATACATGTTTTCTGATATCCTCTTCTCAAATTTTGGAATAAAGAGTATATAATTTTTTATTACAAAGATAAAAGTCTTCTGACAAATTATATCCTGGGGGAAAACAAAGGATTAAACAGGATGTAAAAGATAAGGTTAGAAGGGATGAAAATTTTTTCTCAAATTTTGAACTTTTCTTGGTTTTACATAGACTTTTTTCTGATATTTTAAAATGGATTTATTTGGAATTTTCAGTTTTTTTTATAATTTTTTCTGATGTCTTTCAAAAAATTTTCAGGTTTTGGATTATTCTGGTTTTTTGATTTATATATAATCTGATATCTTTTTCTCAAATCTTGGAATTTTCTGTTTTTTACATCATTTCTTTCCTGATAACTCAAAAAAATGATTTGAGAACTTTCTGTTTTTTTATCTATATATGTTTTCTGATATCTTTTTCTCAAATTTTGGAATAAAGAGCATATAAGTTTTTTTATTACAAAGATAAAAGTCTCCTGACAAATTATATCCCGGTGGAAAAACAAAGGATTAAACAGGATGTAAAAGATAAGGTTAGAAGGGATGAAAATTTTAGTAGGAGCTAAAATTTTTTCTCAAGTTTTGAACTTTTCTTGGTTTTACATAGACTTTTTTCTGATATTTTAAAATGGATTTATTTGGAATTTTCAGTTTTTTTTTATAATTTTTTCTGATGTCTTTCAAAAAATTTTCAGGTTTTGGATTATTCTGGTTTTTATTTATATATAATCTGATATCTTTTTCTCAAATCTTGGAATTTTCTGTTTTTTTCATATATTTTTTTTGATACTTCAAAAAAAATTATTTGAGAGTTTTTTGTTTTTTATATATACATGTTTTCTGATATCTTTTTCTCAAAAGTGGGAATTTTTTATTTTAATAATTTTTTTTTCTGATATCTTTGAGATAAATTACTTCAAGTGAAAAAAAGTTATCTGATAATATTTTATTCCCCCTCAGCGATTTCATAAAGTTATCCTCTGTAATAACAATTGACGAAATTGTCCCCAATGATTCCGGTCATATACCCCTAAAAATCAACTCAAGTGAAAAAATTAATCTGATAAGATATTTATTACGACCCCGAAAAAAAAAAAGATTAGGCTAATTGAGTAACATAGTCACGCGACCTTGACAGGTTGATCTTTCTCCGAAAACAGGCATGACCTCTTGTTGCGCTATACTACTGCTACATCCAGACATTTTGTTCGAGATAGAAGTGTATGCATACATTTCAGGATGGCATAAGCAACACTTAAGGGTGTAATCAATCTAACCAACAGGCTTAACAACTGGCTTGCAAATACGTAGACGTAAAATCAAAATTTTTCCTTCATTCTTAGTTAACAAAGACCAGAAAAACAAAAAACGCCTTTATTCCTCACCATATATCAGCCAAATTAGGATCTTACCCAGCTCAACTACTAACCAAGGAGTTGAGCAGCATCCTATGGGGCGACTAGTTTTCGGTGCTAAATGCTTGTCCTCAATAGAGTACTTAATGCTCTTTCAAACAGGAAACGACTTTTGCATCAAAAATCTAATGTACAGAGACGTAAACAACCCAGTTTCTACCTAAATGACTTTTTTCATTTTTTCAACAAACTTTATGAAACACAACAGACAAAAAAATCTTAGGAACTGGCTTTCAGAGACGAAGGGCTTAATTGTTTTACGTTTTATCGAGTACTACAAACATGCTTGACTTGCTCAAGGATCCAAAATATAAAACAAAGAATACAAAGCGTTATAAAACCTGAAACAAGACTGCTCGTATAACAGAGCAAAGCCCTGAATGTTCCCCTTGTCCCTTATTTCTTATCGAATAGTTTTTGGGAAAATAAAATTTTGAACACCTATAAGTTTTGGACAATATCAAAGTTTGAAATGTTGAGTCGTATTGAATTAATACAACCGATCCGATTAACAACCGTGCCGAGTTTCAATTCAATTTGGAACGGTTTTGTTGTGCAGAATAATTCCCCACGCATTAATATTTTGCATTACGCTCCCAGGAATATGAAAAAACTCTTCAAACCGCGCATATTTTAGTCCAGAACATGGTCAATTTGCCCATTTTCAAACCTCCAGAACTTCACAAAAAACAATCCGTTCAAATACTTTTTTGATTTGAACTCAGGAAACCGATATCTTCAATGGAGTTGAAAATTTTTTTGTTAGAAACTGTGATTCCGATCGGCGAAAATTGGCTAAATAAAAAAACCCACACCAAGCGTAAATATTCCGTTTTCTTCGAAAGTCGGAACAAAAAGCATAGCTAATACAAAGTCTTACGTAAAATTCTGCCTGGCTAAAGTTTTTTTGATCTCTTAGATTTGATGCATCTTTCACACTTGTTTTGAAAAAATTATAACAATTTTGGTTGTCCGGTAAAAAATGATATTAGGCAAATACGCACGAGTACATACCGACTACTGAGAAAAAGAGACTGTGTCGACATTAGAAAATTATGAACCTATCATATTTATAGGCCACTTAAACAAATTAAGCGAGATACAATTCAATGTTTCGTCAGCGTTTTTCAATGCGCCATGGCAACCTTCGTATAATTATGAATGTCAAACGCACGCATGTCTATTAATTAGTGCTACAAACTAGATAAGTCCACCAGTCATTTTTTGTTTGTGTTTAAACAGAACTACTGATTTATACGGAACTATTTGTAGCTGCAGCATACTGGATCTCAAAAGGCTCTGTGAGATACATAAAAAATGCTAGTCAAACCTTTTCTATACCATGAAAATAAACTGAACAAAACTTAAATCATGTATCTTTAATGGTAAAGTTTTGAAAATTTTCTTTTCTTCTAGACCAAAAACTGATGATTGCCAGTTAATTTTTTTGTTTATAGGCGCTTAATTAAGTGTGTTAAATTACTTTATTTTTCGCCTAAAATTGCTAATGATTGATAATCATTGGAAAGTTTTGAAATTTTGATTTAGTTATGCGCAGATTTTCAAAAAAGGTCATAATTTCATTGTACAATATCATTTGGCTTTATTTTAATCATTATTAGCCTAATTCTTAATTCTTTTACAATTGAATTTAAAACCGAGATTTCCAGATAATTTTATTATTTTTTTTGGTCAGAAAGTCTTAGATTAATCATCAATAAGATTGCCAAAATTATCCTAATAATAAGGCCAAAGTTGAGTCTTATAATTTTCATTTATGATAAAATGCTAGTCATACAACTCTCATGTATGATCATACATTTTCCTTATGAAAGAATGCTAGTCATAAAATTCTACCTTTCGACACTAGTTACAATTTGACCCTAGTATGAGTCTGATTTGACCCTAAATCGACCCTGATTCGACTATAGTTTGAGCCTGATTCGACTCTACTTCGACCCTCATTCGACCCTAGTTCGACCATCAGACTGAAATCAGTATGATGCTTCGACTATCAGACCGAAATCAGGTGCGTTTTTTCTGTCTGGAAAAATTCGCTGTTCGACCGACTTCGGTCGGATCATATTTTGACCAGTTCAACCCGTGAGAAAACCTTAATAAAACACGGTCACCTTGTTATTCTGTGCAGCATCTTTGAGTTGAAGTGCAAAATACTGCTGCTGCTTCTGTATCCCACGTTGAGCACATATCTGCGGAAGCCAGCTGGGCACATGATGCCATAAAACCCATGTCTGCACTCCATTTGACCTGCGATCGATACGTTCATGCACACCAAATCGAAGTATGGAAACAAACCCACCAGTCCGTCTCCTATTTTGAGCGTTTCCTGCAGCGATGACACCAAACACTCGTCAACAATCAGGCCGATTTTGCGGCCCAAGAAGTATTGTTTGTCTTCCTGCTTCAAGTAATTTTGCAGAGTAGACTTGTCACAATCAGCTATCACAATTTTCTCTAAATGCAAAACAAAAGTTTTGTTTTATAATTCAATTTTTGCGAGCAGCAATTTTATGCAGGCGAGATCTTTTTCATCACTTCGATACTATAAACACGCTTTTTTCTCGGAAAACTAACAAACCAATAGTTAAGTTAAAAGAAGCAAGTAAGGAGCAAGAAATCTGAAGATATTTTAATGACCAAAAACAGAATCAAAATAGTCACAATCCGAGTTCTGCATCTGCAAGAACTAAAAACAAAGCAGCTAAAAAAGAATTATCATAGTCTTCATGCCATTATCGTCAAATTTAACAATGAACCGGTTGAAATTGGTTTCTTGATGAGTAGTACTACTCAACAATCGGGACAACTAATAATTATTGAGGTTTCTGCGATTCACAGAGAATCTATGAAAGGCTATCCAGCCTGTCTGAGCATAGTCCGTTTCTCTTATCTCCCCACATTCCAGACTGAGATATTTTGTTGAGTGAAGCTCTTTTTGCGTCTAGAACTTTCACGTGGTGCCACTATTGAAGCCGTAATCGGTCAGGCTGTGGTACACCTGAAGCTAGAGGTCAAGTGAGATGTCCTCACATACTATCATTGCCACGGCAGACGATCTGTCGATCATTACACGAACTGACGAGCTCAAAGTGAACGCCTTATCATTATTCTAAGTGCAGCCAAGGGATGAAACTGAACTTGTTAAAAAAACCATAGCGTACTTGAAAAATAACCCAGTTAACTTTTAGTTATCAAAACATGTAAATTTGACAAATTGAAAAATTTAAAAAAACCCCCGACAATTAGTTTTTTATAAAAGTCTGGGGAAATTGAAAAAAGTTAAATTAAAAGTTAAAAGTTAAAAAAGTTAAAAAGCTAAATAAGGTGCTATCAGAGATATCCACACCGGAATTCCACGGATGATAATCGATTATAACGGAAAAATGTTGTCTACAATATTGTCATTAAAATCCATTTTTAATGCAAACTAAGACCACGAAATCGATTATATTGTCATTATATTCGATTATTTTGGTAAAACTCAATCCATTAAAATCCATTATAACGGATTATAATCCGTTTAAAATCCATTAAAATTGATTAGAACGGATTAAAAACTTCACATTTTTTAGCAAAAACATTTGCAAAACTTGCAACATTTCTGCGTTACTCACGGCCTACTCGCAATCTAAACCTAATCGAATTAACCCCCTCCCCACTTTTCCCCCATCCGCATTTGCCCAAATCCTCTCCCCCATCCTCCTACGCCCACCACCATGTTTACTTAAACTTGAGTTTACATCCAACCAACCCCCCCCCCCCAAGTTACAGTCCCACCAGTTTTATTACCATTTTGAGGAAGGTTACTCAGTTGTCCCATCCCCTGCCTCCGGGGGAGGAAGGTTAGTCGGGGGGGGGGGTTAAACTAAGATGGGGGTAAAATGAGAAGGGGTAAACTGGAGGGGTGTAAATCATAAACCCCTCTCCCCCAAAGTCTACCAATAAATAATCCACCCTAAGGGGGTGCAACTGGTGGTTGTGGTAAACTGGCAGGGAGGTGGGGGTGTAAACAGGCAGGTAAACGGGGAAGGGGGTAAACAGGGGGGGGGGGGGGGCGGAAACCGGGAGGAAGTAAACAGGGTATGTAAGACAAAAAAAAATTGACAGTAAAATGTAACAATTTTTGAAATCTAATACGTAGTAACTGCACTAAACAAGAATTGCAATATTTTTGAAACAAACTTGATAATTTCATGACTAACCTCTCAAAAAAGTCCATTATAAATGATTATAATCAATTATAATGGATCATATTGATGTAAAAAATACTAGGGTTGTAATCAATTTTTGAAGGATTATAGTCGATTAATGGGGATTGATTTGTAATTTTTTATAAACTGACTTTAGAATGACAATCTAATTGATTATTATTTAGGGAACTCCAGTGCGGGTAGCGTTCCGGAGATTTAATCAAATAAATAAATAAATAGCAGGTTTGTGTGCCTGACTTCCAGATTCAATATCTAGTCTTCCATAAAACTTTCAGTCCTCGAGCAACCCGTCGAATATTTCCAGTCAGTAGTATTTTCAGAAAGTATAGAAAAGCCAATCTGAATCATAATCTTGCCCAAATATTTGTCTAAGGAAAAAATTAGATCTCGTTATTGAATTTAGGCTCAGGGTGACCTTCTCATAGAGTAATATTGGATACAGTACACCTTCTGTTTGTAGCGCTATCTTATTTTCGGATGGATAAATTTGTGCAACTCCTTAGTCTAATATTAGTGCTAATCTTACTCTTAGATTTCCTAGTCTCAATGGATTTAGTTTATACTGGTTTTCTTGCAACGTTAGAGGAGAGAAAGAAGCAACTGAATTCTAATCTGTGTTTTATTTTCTCTGGCTGAAACTATGAATAGTTCCAGCATTACAATTTATTGTAACTGATAGTAATTGATCATGGTTGGCTGGTTATAAATGTTTTTTTGATAAATATCAAGGTATATAATCAATAATTTAGTTACTTGTTTTGAACTGGTTCCACCCACCCGGGCTTTAGGAAGTTGTTAAAAACAAAATTTTTCCTAAGCAGGAAGGATCGAGTATCTTTTAATTTCTTTGAAGACAGAGTGGATTGATTGTGTCAGCGAAGTACTTGTGATGAGATTGAGAGATTGTTGTGAATGCAAAAAGGTCGTAATGAAGTTGCAGCTTTGTGTTATTGAAATGTCGATTTTGTAAGTTAGAGCGAAACTACGTGCATTCTCAACCACTCGTTCGTAATGATCGAATAGTCAGACAAGAGTTGACTTCTCTAAATGAAGCACCAAACGACAAGGATACGTATGATTGAGTACAGATATCGAGTTGGCCAATGTTCTTTTCGAATGGAGACCTTTGCGGCACCATACTTTATATTCTGTGAGAGTTGACACTGCGGCAAGCAAAACCAACAGATTTGCCTTTCCATCGCCGAGTTTTATTCATTTTTGCTGATTGTTTCTTTTTTCATCTGAATTCTTTACATCATACGTTTGGACTTTGAAGATCAGTTTTATTAAAGTTTGCAAAAACTTCTTTAATTGTTCTGTTATTTTAAGGAGTTGCCTAACTTGGAGCTACTCTTAAAAAGATTGTCACTCGGGGTTTTAAGCACATGAGCAGTACATGTTTTTCAAACAGCAGGTGGCATGTGCCAGTGAGGTTATATTTAGGTGTGTCTATTAGAGTCTTTTCTTGTTTATAATTTTTTTTTTATCAGTGTTTTGTAAGTTGTTTTTTTTTGTTGTGTACTTTTCTCAAAAACAGAGACTTTGATTAAAGTTGACTTGGGTCTTAATAAGTTTGTTTTCGTATGGTCTTAATAAAACCTAGTATGTACTTTCAAAGAAGATTGTAACCAGTTTAACCTGGTTTGTTTGTAGTGGGACTTGATTGCACATGCTGGTAAATTGCCGGCGTTGGTAAGCGGCGTTGGTTATTTGAGCCTTAATTCATTACTTCAATCGGGTTAAAGGACTGCTGTTATCAGTTTTATAGCGAATTTTTTTTTTCATTCATGTCAAAGCTTTTATCAGTTCTATCGTGAAATTTTATTTTCTTTCATTCACGTGCAATTGTTATGCGAAATTGTCAAATGTTTTGAAAAGAATTTACAGAAAGTGGGCAAGGTCGGCTCCATACTTTATATCCTGTGAGAGTTGAGACTGTGGCAAGCAAAACCAATAGATTTTCCAATTTCAAAGTCGTAATGTCATCGAATTTTGTTTCCCTTTTGCTGCTTGTTTCTTTTGCTCTTCGAAATTTTTCACTATAGATGTATCTGCACTTTAGTAATCAATTTTAGGTATGAGCTTATTCGTTATTTTCGCAAAAACTTTTTATTAGTTCCGTTATTTAAAGAGTTGCTGGCCCTGGAGCCACTATTAAAAAATTGTGAGTCGGGTTTTGAGGACTTGTTCAGTACATGTTCTTCGAACGGCCGGTGGCGTGGGCCAGTTTAGTGAACATGTACTGAACCTGTGCTTAAAACCCCGACTCACAATTTTTTGAGTGTCTGTTTGAGTAGAGATTTTTCTTGCTTATTTTTTTTTCTTCCTTTTGCATCAAGGGTTTTGTCAGTTGTTTTTTGGTTGAGCCCTTTTCTCAAAAACAATTTGTCTTTGATAATTTTGACTCAGGTTTTCTGAAAGTTTCATGTGGTCTTAATAAATGTTTAGTTCGTTCTTCAAAAGAAAATTTTATCCACTTTAATCTGGTTTGGTTTTAGTTGGACTTTCTCGTAACTGCTGGTAATGTAGTAGGTTAGTAGGTGGCGTTGGTTATGTAAGCTCTTATTCTTTTCTTCAACGGGGTTAGAGGAAAGTTTGAAAAATCTGAAAGCTGTTTTAAATTGTTATCAGGTGAAATTTGAAATTAATTTATTCACGTGCAATTGTCAGGCGAAATTGTCAAATGTTTCAAAGAGCGTTCACAAAAAATGATCGATATCAAGTGGCGAGTTGGAGAGCTTACAAACTTATGCACACTATAAAAAGGTTAGTGTTATCTCTACTTTGTCACTTTCTTTTAAGTTACTGCATTGTCTTACAATTTTACTACTTATCACTAGTAATGTTTTGCTTTGATATAAGTTTTACTTAACAATTAGAAGTTAGTGCGATCATTTAATGTTCTTTATTATAGAACTTATACAACTGCTTCTAGTTTTGATTCGACTCTTTTTGATCTTAGAAACTATCAAAAAAAATTTTAAAAAATGCTAATTTATTCATATAAACTGGTGAGTAAGTATTTATTTTTAGTTAGTGAATAACAAATTTATACTTACTTAGAATCGGGGTCAGAAACAAATCTGTTGGGAAAGTTGAGACAAGTGACTGCCTTATAGGCTTTGCTAACATGGTGATAACAATTTTGAAGCGTAGAAGTAGTCAAAAAAGTTCAAGTGCCTTAACGAGTTCATCTTGTGTAACAGTGAAATCATGGTGAGTATTTTGGTTTAGATTATAGAG